GGGGGGGGGGGGGGGGGGGGGGGGGGGGGAGGAGGCAGCACTTTCCTTGCGATAGTAATTTCTAGTCATAATAATAAATTCGCGGCACCTAACACTAACCCTAACCCCAACCCCCACCCTAACCACTAACCCCTAACCCTAACCCCTAACCACTAACAACTAATTTTTTTAACTTTTTAAATTTTTTTAACTTTTTTAAAAATCTAACTTTTTAAACTTTTCTTGCTTCTCAAAACTCTTTTAAAACTTTTTTAAAAGCTATTTTTCCGAAAAAGTTGAAAAAACTCCCCCATCCCAGCGCGGCCAAGCCTCCCTTTTGGTGCCATTACATTTATAGCAAGAAACCTTGTGCAATGCTTGTGGTTTTATAATTAACTCTATTGATAAATTCAAAATGTGCCGCGAATTTATCATAATGATAAATTCGGACGTGTTACTCATATAGTAAATTCAAAGGTGGAAGTCATGTTGCTATTTTCACATGCTCGTCCGCTGTACAAATTGTATCGCATGTAACGGTTTTGTAAATACGCGCGAAAGTTACAATAAGAAATAGAGGCGAGTGAAATTGTGTGCACGTGTTCAATATTAACCAATAGCATTTCGGGATTTGTTCACAATTCGTAAACGTTTCAACTCTGATTCCTTTTTAAATGTATTATATCATGCTTCTACTTCGAGAATATTGCCCATTGCATGTTCGAGAGTGGTAATAATATAAATTTATATTAATGTTGTTAGTTGTGAATTGTGACTTTTCTGTATAACATATATTAGTTATATTAAACACAAATATTTCCGTTTTAGTATATTGTATGCTGGTTTTACTTAATTTCACATTAGAATATTTGAAAATGGCATTAATGTTATAAAGTAACACAAAATATAACAAAATCATGGCGAAATGTCAAAATTTGACCTCATTGTTCAGTATATTAATGTACTGAAAGACTGAAATATGATAAAAAAAGACAAATATATGGCATGCTAAGATCAACCACAGTTTGGATTAACTATGGATCAACTCACGTTAAAAACATGTGAACGGAAGCCAAGATTGCATAATTCCATAATTATATCTAGCAGTGACCTGTGCCTAGCAACGGTTACTGTGCCTAGCAATTTGCTACAGCGTCTGTCGAAAGATTTTACCAGATGTTCCCACAGTTTCACTCCCCTCTATTTCTTATTGTAAGTTTCGCGTGTATTTACAAAACCGTTACATGCGATCAGGGGCGTAGGAAGCTTAGAAAAGTTGGGGGGGGGGGCAGGCTTTGAGGGGCACTTTAAAAAAAAAGGGCATATCAAAATTTTTTTGGCGACCCCCCCCGGTCAGTGTACCATTTTAGGGGTAAAAAATTTTTCCGGACATACCATATTTCTTCTTAAATACAAAAAAATTTTCAGGACAAACCAATATATGATATTTTTTGCGGATTGGATTTTTCAAAAGATTCGTTTGGACAAAAAATGCAAATTTTATGAAACTTTTTCAGGCACAAAAAGGGCACTTTCCTCCTGGAAAAAGGGCACTTGCCAAAACTTGGGGGGCATGGCTCCTGCCCCCCCCGGTTCCTACGCCCCTGCATGCGATACAATTCGTACAGCGGACAACCATGCGAAAATAGCGTGCAAAGAAGGGCGACAATATTTATACGAAAATATTACGAAAGTTTATATGGCTTGTTTACGTATTTAAAAACAGTGTTTTAGTGTTTATATGTAAATTAGCAAACCAAAGAAGACAAAGACTACCTATTCACAAATTTTACAGCCATATACAGGTACGCAAGTCTCGAAAAGAATACTGCTGTGCTCTCTTGGATTGTCTTGCAAGTGGCAGTTGTTCCAACAAAATAATCCAGCCGATATCCAGTACATTTATTCATCATTCTTGCATAAATCTCTAAACAAAAACATTTATGTTAGAAAGCAAAATGACAATGTTATGAGGAGGGAGAATTGGGATTCTTTTATTGGCATTTGAAAATGTTTGTAGAAAATTTGTTTATTAACTGAACTCTAATGTGTAAAACCAAAATGTTTAAGTATTTTTACTGGTAACATCTTACGACTTTACCTTTGCTCTAACACTGCATTTGATGACAGCTTATAGTTGGACTGTTGTTTTGAACTGAGCCGGTTACAGAAATACAACATATCTCCTCAGAGAACATTAGTTTCCTGTAATATTGTTCATTGGCAAATATATTGCCTGCTATATATGTTTGTTTAACACAATGATTGTTTTGATGTATAAATATATAATAAAATATGTGGTATTTGACTACTTACCAGATGAGGATAAGTTTCCATCTTAATTCATAGATAATTTCGGAATAATATCACAAGTAGAATGGTGAAAACAAGACAAAATCAAGATATTTTTGAAGCCAAATGTGAAAATGGCAAAGAATATTACAATAAACACGAGGCCAAAATACGCCTGTTCGTGGGTAAGGTGCAGGCGCGATGTAAACAATTGATGTAAACTAATCTCTGATTGGCTTAAATCGGCTCAATTATAGAAGCTCGTCGCTGAATGGCTATGTGACTGTTAACATACGATACGTTTGCGATAGCAATATATCTTCGCAGATACAGAAAGGTTGTCCTTTGCAAACCTTAAGCCCTGATCAAACGAGAACGCAATACATCGCAAGTTTTAATTTGCACTTGCTTGTGCCTCGTTTGACCACCAACTTGCGTTAACTTGCGTTAACTTGCGAACAATTGAGCTGGTTCAAACTTCATCCCAAGCTTTTTAAACTTGCGAGCACTAACTATAGATGGTTTTCATGTGACGTCACGAACTATACGGCGGCCATGTTGGTGTACCAAATTTCCCGCAAAATATTCCCGCGAAATACAAATAATCCTGCATTTCCATATTTTTAAAGATTATTTTGCATGTGTTTTATACGATATGAGTTTAGAACACGATTTATATTTGTCGAATTATGCTAAAAAGCTTGAACCAAAGTCAAGAAGCGCTATGAAGAAAAAATCTCTGACATAGGAGTCGATCCAATGTTGATCGAAGGCAAGTACTTTCAACCTGATTGTTTACCTCCTGTAGAATCAACAGATTTACTGTTTACCTGGTGTTAGAAACAAGCTACTACACAAAGCAGCATTTTAAAGCATTTCGAAGCCTCGAAGCTTACAATCGAATGGTGTGTGGCTTTATTCCGGGTGTACAAGGGCATATGATGGGAGGCAAGTTTCTTGTTGTTGCTAAAGTACGACATTCGCAACGAATGATCGATCCCCTTATTTCCATTTGGATCATCACTGAAAAGCAAGAAACATCTGTTCTATCTGCACATTGTTGTGGCTTCAAAGCTGGTCTTGGCGAAAGTTGTTCACATATAGCCAGTGTTCTCTTTTACCTTGAAGCTTGGACGAAAATTAATGGAAAGTAGTCTTGTACTCAGGTAAAATGCTCCTGGATATTACCTTCATATGTCAGTGAGGTGGATTACTCAAGAATTCGAGACATCAATTTTACATCTGCAAAGAAGTTGAAAGCAGACCTTGATAAAAGTTTAGATCAACTTTCTACTGGCACTGAAGCAGATAAGCCACAGATACATGTTCAAGCCAAGGTTAATACTAAAGCCATTCCAGTCCCAACTAATGTAGAAATGGAATCTTTTTATGCAGATCTAAGTGAATGCAAATCAAAGCCAGTTTCCCTTAGTCTGGTTTCACCTTATGCGGACAGATTTGTTCAGAAGAGCCAAACTATTCCAACCATTCATGGTCTGTCAACTCCCCAGTATCAGGATCTCACTTATCCAGAACTGTTGCAAGTTTGCCATAAACAAAAGATAGTTTTATCTGCAGAGCAAATATCTCAAATTGAGAAAGACACAAGAGATCAAGCATAAGGTACTAACTTTTTTAAACTTAGAGCTGGCCGGATTGGAGCCTCCCGAAGCAAGCATCTCACACCAACCCTGCGTTGCCATCCCAATCTCTTATACAAACAATCTGCTACCCTGAATATAATAAACTTTTTACTAAAGCTATTGTCCATGGGTGCCAACACGAAGCACCTGCGATAAGTGCACATGAAAATGCTATGAAGCAAGTCCACACAAATTTTAAAGTGGAATGTTCATCAATAAAGATCACCCTTGGCTGCATGCAACCCCTGATTTCCTTTGTTCATGCGACTGCTGTGGAGAAGGATGTGGTGAGGTAAAATGTCCTTTCTGTATTGAAAACTGTGACTTTGAACAATACATTTTGAGAAAGAATGTATGTTTGAAGAAAGATGAAGATGGTAATGTTTTACTAAAGGCTGATCATGCATATTACTATCAAATACAGTAGCAACTCTTTACTGTAACTATTAAGAGTTACTGTGACATTGTGGTATGTGCTTTTTATGCCAGTGGTGGAACTAAAGATTTTTCAAGCAGAGAATTATGCCTGATGTTGCTCACTGGAAAACTGTTTTGCCCAAACTAACAAACGTTTGGCGAAATTGTACTTTACTTGAAGTACTAGCAAAGTGGTATACTAGAAAGCACATTCAGAATGATGGTAAAACTGAGGGTAAACCTGATGGTAAGAGTGATGGCAGAACTGACAACAAGTCACCAAACAATGATGGTACTTGCTACTGCAGAAAGAGTGCAAATGAAACAAGTGTTCTTTGCTGTAACCCAGAATGTGCAATCAAGTCATTCCATTTACTACGCCTAAGGATTAACAGCATCCCCAAAACTTGGTATTGTTCCTACTGCAGGACCCAACCTCAGTTTAAGAGATCTAACAAGAATGCACAACAGCTTCCTAAAGTAGTTTCAAGTTCTGAAGCCATGGACCTTGATATTATCTGTACATGCAAATCAAAGCCATGTGCAAGTGACACACTTCTAAAATGGCTCAACAAGTCTTGTAACAACGGCAAATTTTTTCATCTTACCTGCCTAAAATACAAGAGGATGCCAAATAACAGTCAGACCATATGGATTTGCCCTGGATGTCGCAAAAGCAGCAATATTACAAAATCCTCTAAAAATAAAGATGATATTACTTTTGTTAAGGTTGGGTCACAACCCACCTGAGAAATACAAGATTATTGAACACCTAAGTCAAAAACAGTTTGACATCATTATGTCTCCCACAGCTTGGTTAGATTGTACCATTGTACATGATGCTCATGAAACAATAAAAGGGTTTCAAAGACCAAAGGCCCTTGTAAACAGTTTGACATCATTGTGGGTGACTTCGTCCAGATTTTGCATGTCAATAACAATCACTGGGTGTGCATTAGTTCAATTAATTGTCAACCGGGGTATGTCAATTTACTAGACAGTCTAGCAAGTAGTGTGGTATCACAAGAAGTAGAAGATTTGGTCAGAAGTATACTTGGACCAAGCAATCAGGGAGTCAACATTCAACATGTTCAACAACAGCAAAATGTCTGCGACTGTGGAGTTCTTGCGATAGCATTTGCTACATGCCTTGCATATGCAAAATTACCCCAGTGTCTAAGCTTTAACATTCCAATGATGCGTCCTCATTTACTAAACTGTTTGAAGAATAGAAGCATGGAGCTTTTTCCAGCAGTTTAGAAACTATTCTGATGATTTATGGTACAAAATATGTCAAATGTAAAACATAACTTTGTTATAAATATGTGAACTTTTACATTTTATCATACATGATTGAATAGAACATCCCCCCCCCCCCTCCCGCACAAGTGAGGACATTCATAAGTTTGAGGTCTATCACATGGAATTTCCAACACCCTGTTCCCTACCATGGAATTTCCTTTTTAATTCTATTTAGGCAGACCTGTTGCTCATTGGTTAAAAATTTTCCAGATGTCCTCAATGGGGGGGGGGTGGGGACAGACTACATTTTGTGACAACTATTTGATAACTACCATGTAGGAAGTTGTCACAAAGTAGTGAACTGCCATGATTACTTATGTCAGTCAAAATCACTTACACTGGTTTTATTTAACCGATTAGTGGGAAAGGGTTCACTTAAATTTCATTTCAGGCTAATGCCAGACAATTTTATTCACCTAAGTGATGAACCCTTGCCCCTTATGAGTTAAGTTATCAGTATTTCATGGGTTTATACCCCTTCCGAAATTAAGTGGTGAACACAATGGTAGGTCACATTTAAGTTAACTGTTGTATTTTTCAATCAAAGGGAACAATTCCAGGGCATAAATAAACCAAAGCAGAACATACATTTATTATTCGGTCAATCATTGGTGTTGACTCTTCTTGGGATCCCTTGGGATTATACATCAAGAAATCAATTGGTAGGATTCCACCTAGAATAGTGTATTTCCTTCGAAGGAGACCAATTACTCGCTCAACATGATCCTTACATTAGCAATCCCTCTAGTTTTTTCAATGTCGACTGGATCTAGTTGGTCCTTGCCCCGTGTAAAGGCAGGAATTGCTAAATGTGCATTTCGGGACATTAATGATTCTTGTATGGTGAACCCTCAATCTGCCATTACAAGATCCCCAGGTAATAAATTACCCATTAATCCACAGTTATCTGTCATAAACTTGTCGGATGTTCTCCCTCTCCAAGCTTTCGATACAAATGAAATTGTGCCTTGTGTAGTTATCCCAATCAAAACCTTCACAGTATTGTGGCTTTTGTATGAGGAATATGTCTGAGCTCGAGCAAGAAGATTCGAAGGTCTGTCGATAAAAACTTCAAAGCAGTCGATTATCACAGTGGTCTTATGTCCAAATGAAAACTGAAAGCACTGTGGCACAGTTCGCCACAAGTCTTCACGCTCTGGCCACTTGATCAATGGTGAAAGCCTTACATTCATAACTATCATCCAGGATAGGAAACTTTCTGAAACAGTAGGTATAGAAATTCCAAACCGGTTAGCAAGATCTTAAAATGGCATATATTTAGCCTTAACTTCATCAAAGTTAAAACAAATTCCTCGAATGGAGTCAACCGTACAGTCTTACGAGTTACAAATGGCAATATTTGACGGAAGACTGTACTCAAGATTTCAACTGAAGGTAGTCCAGTATAAAAACTTAATTTACTATCTGCTACTCGAAAATTATCCTCGGAAATTGGGCTCTGTGATTGCTGTTTGGTGAATAAATATTCAAATTCTTCTGTTTGTGTACTTGCCTCGCTGAAGCAGATATCCGAAATAGGTTGACCGTCTCCATATTCTAACTTGGCCTTCTTTGCTGCGACTTCTTCCAAACGCAAGCGTTCTCTCTCTTGTTGTTCTAGTCGAAGCCTTTCCTTCTCGTTCGCTCGTTTCCCCCTTTGCTCTGCCTGCTCAAGATTTGCTGTTCGTACATTCTTGTTATGGCC